AGACGTGTGCTCTTCCGATCTTTGAGCCGTTTAAAAGATATACATTTTTTTTGAAATTTTGATTTTTATTTCTCACACCCCAACGATTGAATATTAAGTGCTAATGTTTGGTAAAATTGTAACTGATATTGATTGCAACTAAACTGTAAAAAATGATCATGATCGGCGCGAGGGCAGATCGTTCCTCCTTATCCGACTATGGCCTTTATGGCTCTGTCATGAACATGTTTTCGCCACTAAATTTCAAAAAGAAAGCGGATAGATATTGTGGCGCTTGCGTCGCTACTACTCCAGCTGCAATTATAAAATTTAATCTGCGTCGAAAATTCGAAGAAATTATAGAAATTTAAGAAATTTCTACGTATTGACGCTGACGAAGTCGCGGATCCGCTCAGCTATTCGGCAGTAAAAAGCAAACTCAAAGCGAGACAAAACATAAAGACAAATAGACGAGACAGATAAGCTCGTTGACGAGAGTATAACGACGCTTGAGGTTTCGTTAATATTACTTTGATTTGTAGCCTCCTCATCTTTTTATGTCGAGTAAATTATTAATACATGCAATATACTGTACACGTCGGATTATAATACAAAATCTTAAACAATCATTAAGCTGCATGTGTAGAAAAAGGAAGAGCAACGTTGCTAAGGTATAAATTTAAATGTATTTGCGTAAATAATGATAGGACAAAGCAAGCTCTCGGAAAGACAGGCCGGCGACCAATCGTGAATATTGAAACGTGAGTATTCAGTTGATAGAGACTGACGCGCACGGACGTGTATTAATACGTAAGTTTTTCTCATCCATCGCATCCGCATCCATCGCATCAATATGAATCTATTCTTCACATGAATCTATTCAGCTTCTCCGCATAGGATATGAATCTGTTCTTGTATTCTTCGCACCGCGTCTTTGTTGTATAGTGTCTCGAACAAAAATTTTTTGTATATCATAAAACGCAGTATCCGTCGCTGAACAGTGAACAATGACGTGACGGACGAGAGTCTTCAGAATCAGTCGCTGGTCAGTTACTGAGACAATACTTCTATAAGCAGAGCTCAGGAAAAATGGAAAGTAAGTTATAAAATAAATAAAATTAAACAAAATAAAAAAGAATTAATTATGGCAATCGCGACAAAAATGTGAAATTAGGCGGCGACAAAAATTACAAAACATGTTTTCAGACAATAGAGAAAATGATCAAAATATCCAAGAACAAGTGCAACAACAGTTACATCAGCAACAATTACAGCCTCAACAGCCTTAATAGCATCAACTTGATATGCATCTTCAACCCGTACAAGTAATATATTATAAATACAATTTTGTAGAAAAATATATTCTATAAATATTTGATATAAACTTTCTTCTTAAACAATAATAAGTCTTTTTTTATTTTTAGCCAGAAGAAAATGATATGCATACTAAATATACGCGAAATATGGCAAGAATTACAAATGCTGCCACAACTGTATTATTAGGATAACAAAGATATGAGAATTATAAGAATTGGAATAATAAAAATCAAGAATCAAATCAATAAATAAAAATAAATAAAAATCAAGAAAATAAATAAATAAATATCAAGAAAAATAAATAAAAATCAAGAAAAGGACAAAGACAACGATGAGGACGAAAACAAGCAAGAGAATTAAAGACATGAACGATATATATAAACAAAATGTTTGTATGTATAATTTATAATTATATAAAATCTTAAGAACATTTACTATTATTATTATTTTATGTATTATTTTATAATTATTAATATTATTATTTTATTATTATTGGTACAATTATTTATTATGATATTATTTGAAAATGCAATACATATATATAAATACAGATACATGTGTTAGTTATACAAGTATGTAAATATAATATGTATATAGTATGTATGTAAATATAAAAATAACATATTTATTATTTATCACATTTTTTATTTTGTATATTGTTACGCCCGTATCTACGCCCGCGTCGTTCGATGTATCAGCGAGCCGGTCCAGCTGTCGGATGTTTCCCTGACGACGCGTTGTCGTCCGTCAAACGGACGACATATTAAATTTTGAGACAAGCCGTCGTGCCGTGCGGACGTGCTTTGCTCTGCTCTGTCTATTCGCCGCGTAGTTTGTTCACAGTTACTAGAATAAAGAGTGTTCCTTTTTTATTTCTCCGCGGCCTTCTGGTGCGCGTGCGCGAACGCGAGTGCGGAAGCGCGAACGTTACGCGAACGAGTGCGTGAACGCGATCAGATTCACCACTCCGAGCGTAACAATATAAATATGTATCTATACTGCATATAAAATAATATGTGGACAGGCAGTATTTATCATATAAAGTTTTTTTTGACTAGCACTGCAAACGCGCGCTTCGCGCGAACTATTTAACACTTCTTACTATAATTTACAATTTCGTCAACCTCAATACATACAACGGTCAAAATGCAATGTCACAGCCGCTTACGCGAAGTAAGCGTAGCGAGACAATCAGCATCGCGGAAAAGCGACAACAAATAATTTCGAGAAATGCGCGTTATCGACTTTACATGCACCTTTTTAGATAGGATTCTTACAGTCATCATACTGAATTCATTTGTTGTTTTTTCGGTAACATATCGCAGTATAATGTCCAATATCTTTCTCGTTGGAATGTCTTGTTTGTGTTGTAGGTGATTTATAATTAATTATTCCTACCAAACTGTGCTCTTCTTTTAGAAAAGAAAACATATAATCTTTCGTGGAATATCTTCTAATTTAACACTTAATGATGCTTCGTTATTTGAGTACATCTCAAATATGAGAAAATATCCTAAAAATAAAACAAAATATAATTTAAATTTTAAATTTTTATTTATTATTAATATAAGTAACAGAATTAAATTAATACCTGCATGTATAATTTATGTAATTTATAAACCAACGCAGTTTGTATTACAACAACGTTGTGATTGTAAAATAATGTCTTTCTAATTGTACGAAATCTTTCCGAATTAACGTATCAACTTCAATATTGACTATTGGAAGTATTTTTGATCTTTCCGCACAAAGTTTAGAACATCTGGATATTTCTCGAAAGGTTGGATATTCTGCAAATAACTTGTTACATAAGTAACCAACTGTTACTTGACAATCTACTAAAATACAATTGTTTAGTAATTTATTACCTGAAAATAATTTTATTAGAATTTGAGCACGTACGTATCTGTAAGACGATTTACGTATACTGTGAGATGCCATGTCACAGATTAATTTAAAAAAGATGTTAGTACATTCATTATTAATAAAATCTTTGATTTTATCATTATCGAGATATGCAACAATAAAAATTTGCAAAATGCTGTCAAAAGCATATGTATTTGTAAAGGAATATTTTGTTTTCCCAAACGTAACTGCTTTGATACTAAAATTTCCATTATTTTTAATATTATAATAGGTATTTTAGATATATTTTCATCTAATCAAAATTCATTTTCGGTAATCTTCCTTTCTAAATATTTGCCTTGAGATTTTGTTGTCGCAAGACCACGCCAATCTTCCATTTCTTTTGATGCAATTATATTTTGACTATCTGTTTTTTGGCAATTTTTATATTTTCTTTTCTGTCCAAATTCTTCTTCTCCAACTGGAACAGAACATGCATCAAGTGCATGTACATTTGCACCGCTTGGTTGGTCTCCATTCCTACATGCTAGATATTTGTCTTCCATATTTTTTATTTTTATTTACATTGTCCGTTGTAGTGATTTCTGCATTGTTAAACTGGTTCAATCACATCATTTTGTTCCTTATCTTGCAAATTAATATCAGTTAATTTTATACGACCACTTATAAATGATATATGTTTTGTAACGAATTCATCTACTCTCATTGGTGTTTGTTTTGTTTTCAAAAAAATGTTCTTGATAATATTGAAATCTCCCTCTACTGAAACACTACTGGCTGGAATTCTTTCGTATCCAAATTTGTCTCTGCATACAACATTGGTATCAATTGTATATATCTTTTAAAAAACGATCTGCAAATGTTAGCATGTAATGTGCATTCTCACGATCTCCTTCATTATCAGAGATGTGCTGTATTTCATTGTCAATATTTTGTGCCCATTGACCCCATTTATTATTGTCGTTATCTTCATCATAAACATTATCAGATTGTCTTAAATTATCATCATCATCTACATGTATTTCTTTATTTGATAATATTAATAAATTTTTCATCTTTATTTTATATATTTTGCATATAGTCTTTTCATTATTTGATGTCATGTCTTTTGTTTTACTCCTTGCTATAGCTAACATTTCTTTTAATATTTCTTCTGCTGTATTAATGTTGTAACTTAAACTTAACTGTCCTAATAATGATAAATAAAATACTTTTACGCATCGTTGCGCTTTATCTTTAAAAAAATTTGCGTATGTTTTAATAAAATGTGCCACATCTATGCGTATACAACATATAGGCAAATTATCTTCTTTGCATGCATCAGAATATTCTTCGACAGTAAAATATCCTGTGAAACGTTGTACAACCGCAGTTAATAGACTAGCATCACATTACTACTTTACGAGGACGAGATACATCAAATCGGATCCATTCCATCAACCAATAATGGATTGCATTTGTATTATGACATTCCGAAAGCATTTGGCATACTGGAAAGAGACCGTTTCTCTTAGAATTGACAACACAGTTATATAAAAAATATGTTTTGTCTTTGATTTATCGGGTCTTTTAATTTTTTTTATTATACTTCCCGTCGCATCAATATGTGCAAAATGTTTTATCTGATACATATGTTCGATATACATGTAATTGATGATTGGACCAATAATGTACATAAAAAGAATTCAATCCAATACTATGTATTATATTTCCTAGTGATCCCAATTGCATTAAATATAATTTTTCATTTTCATTTTCATTAAATGCGTGCGCGTCGCTATCATTCATAAAAAGCCGCTATGGTGCACGTGTCGATGATATGCAGTGTGTACATACATTATGTTTTGTTATTATAAATAAAGAATTTGTTATAAAAATGCTATATTCATAACAAAAAGATGCGCAACGGAAAATTCTGCACGAATATGCGAGTCGCGACTTCTTTTTCTCTTCATCCTCCTCCTCCCTCTGGTCACCTTAACATATTAGGTGCTTTGACAAAATTGGTATTAAAATATTTCTTTTTTAATATTATTTAAAAATACCTAGTCGCCGAATTAGGGGCTCGTTCCTTTTGACAGAAATTCTAACTTAAACATTGATCGCGCTATATACTCTCTTGTGAGCCAACCGCGCGATCGATGTTTAAGTTAGAATTTCTGTAAAAAGGAATGAGCACCTAATTCGGCGACTAGGTATCTTTAAATAATATTAAAAAAGAAACATTTTAATACCAATTTTGTCGAAGCACCTAATTGTTTAAGATAATTTCTCTCTTGTAAGCCAACTGCGCGATCAATGTTTAAGTTAAAATTTCTGACGAACAAAACGAGAAATTTAATTCGGCGGCTTGGTATTTTTAAATAATAATCAAAAAGAAATATTTTAATATCAATTTTATCGAAGCATCTAATTTTTTAAGATAACTTCTCTCTTGTGAGTCAACCACGCAATCGATGTTTAAGTTAGAATTTCTAATAAACGGAACGAGCACTTAATTCGGCGACTCAATATCTTTAAATAATAATAAAAAAGAAACATTTTAATACCAATTTTGTCGAAGCACCTTATTGTTTAAGATAATTTCTTTCTTGTAAGCTGATCGTTTGACTGACATCGTAAGTTCTGTGATATATTTTTGAATTATTTTTATCGTTTCT